GTTGGTGACGATGATTGTGATGGTGGTGATGGTGATGGTGAAGATGATGGCGACGGTGAAGATGATGGCAATTGTGATGATGTCAGGGGTGAAGGCGATCATGATGGCTATGGTGATGATGATAATGATGACGGTGATTATGATGATGGCAATGGTGATGGCGATCATGATGACAGTGATCATGACGATGATTATAGTGATGATGGCGATGATGATCTTGATGGCAATGCTGATGGTGGTGATGATGAGGGTGCTTATGATGGCAATGCTGGTCCTTAACGTGATGGTGATGATGGCAATTAATGGTGATCGTGGTTATGATGATGATCATGATGATTGTGATGGCAATGCTAATGGTGGTGATGATGATGTAGGTGGTGACGGCGATGATGGCTATGGTGATGATGATAATGATTGTGATGGCGATGACGATTGTGATAATGATGTTGAAGATGAAAATTAGAATTCTACAAGTTTCATTTGAGCCCTTCAGCCCACCACACATTAATATTTCTATCCGAGGGTAAAAAAAAAACCGAAAATAAATTTTCAGATATATATACCACGGGTCATTTAAAAAAAAAGAAAGTTTTATTTGAGCTCTTCAGCCCACCGCACACTAATATTTCTATCCGAGAGTCTTGCAACAAACCTTGAAAATAAATTTTCAGAAACATATATTCCGCGGGTCACTTTAAAACAAAATCAAACAGAAAAGAGAATAAGGGAAAGAATTTTGTAATATTTTATTTCCAGGAATACACATCAACTGGAGTAACACAATTGACAAAAGAACTATGAAATAAAATATTACCATCCTCGAATGTCTGGGAATTACCAAAAGAAATTCCTGTTTAAGGCTTTTCTCATTAGCCCATGGTTTACAAATATAAAAACACATTTCAGAACTTTTAGCAGGGATGGGAACAATCATATTTTCAATTTTCAATCACATTGCCCCCCCCCCCCGAAAGTTTGTATTTACACAAACATACATTTCATAACGAATAATGTGTCTTCTTTGTTAAATGATATCAAAGCCTGGCCAAAAATAGCCTATATAGACACTTAAATCACCTTTTCTGTCCCTAGAGCTGGTATTCTATATTGTACTCGATTGTACTTGTTTGCGTATCTGTGTCCAACTTTGTACTTTCCGCTCACTTCTATAAGTAGGTAGCGCATGAATATCGTACACAATAATAAGTATGTGGGGCAATACAAAACCTCTACGACCGGGGGTTACGCACACGAGAGTAATTCATGAATATCCTTAATCTCCGTCTACCTTCCGTGCGTGTTCACGTACAGCGCGCAGACTGGTTGGACCGCGAATCGACGCAGAGCTATATATATAACGTGGTATCCCCCGGTTGATCTCGATGCGAAACGCTCGTCGATCGGCCATGTCTTATTTTCCGCCGAAGTCTATTATGCATCAGCTACTACTTTGCTAGTTCCTGACTGGTATTAAAACAGACATTGACAGGAAGTATAATATTATGTTAGGAAAATATCTACATTATGTAGTAAGCCAAAATTCAGCGAGACGCACCCCCGATAAAAATGGTTATTTAACATGTATATCCGACTCTTCAAATATTTTTTTTTGCAAGTTTTATTTGGTGTTTTTTTTTCTTCACATTTTGAAACTTCACTCACTATTTATTGAATAGTACATTATAATGTTTATAGTTCTGGCTCAATATTCATGACGAATTCAATGTCATTAAATGAATCCTGAGCATAGCAGAAAGATGAGAACTGTGCCATGTTTTTGCTTATTACGTATTCATGAGGAGAAAAAAACGTGCATACGACTTGAGTAAATACGTGCGATTTGGCGAGCGCTGCGGTCTGACTGAGTAGAGATAAGTGACCGAAAGGAAGGGCTCAAAAACTGCCCGAAACAGGCAAGATGGTACCTGGACGGTTACGCATGAGTGATTTCGGAAAACGAAGAGTCAAGTAACCTTGATTGGATGCCGGAGATTAAACCTACGAAATTTGAAAGGAATCGGGATAGAGGAAAGGACCTTTATATAGGGCTCACAATCACTGCGTGCAAAACTAATGGAATTTGGGAGAATGAAACTTGCAGACATGTGTACCCATACACTTGACAACAGTCTGCCAAGTTTGGTGAAATTTGATGACGTCATCGCAAAGTTATCTCAACAATTATGAATTGGTTATGCAGTATATAACAATGCTTAACATGCTTGCAGTATATTTCCTGCAAATAACAATGGTGTCAAACTAACCGCAATGACATGCCCTTTAGATTGATCTGAAATACGGTATATGTTCACGTAGAATTTTTGAGTAAATCGCACATGAACAAGGGTCACAATACGGATTCTGCTGGATTTCCGCCCAATTATACCATCTTTCGGCTATGACGTCATTTTTTAGAAAGCGTTGCGCACCCTTTTCCGATCTTTTTTTTTTGTTCTTAATATTTTCAAGCATATTCTGGGTTGCTAAACGGACGGCATCTTGCAGCCAGATTTGTAAAATATGTCAAGGGGGTCATTTCAGACACAATACCCTGCTTAATCATGTGAGTATAAGGAAGGCCATTTGTGCCACAACTCATATGACTTGTTCGTCATTCACCAAAATCCCATTCGCTTTGGACTGAGTAATTATGAGCCCTATCTAGGTCCCCCGATTCCTTTCCAATTTCTTAGGAATATGCTTTAGCATCCCATCAAGGTCATCTAACTATTCGTTTTCCGAAATCCCTCATGCGTTTTTGAGGTCTTTCTTTGCGCCTACCTATTTCCACTATCCTAGACGCTACAGACTTCTAACAAACTGCTCTTGATAGTCCGAGCAATGATTGTTCATCCGCGACGTACATCATACGGGCGACAATGCATGCATATCGTTCTAGTACGATTGTAGTTGTAGTTATTATTATTTTTATAATTATTATTATCATCATTAGAATTATTATTATCATAATTGTTACCATTAACGTCATTATTCTATTTTACTATCTTATCTGTAGAATGGCGTTTCGTTGGAAAAAATCAAGGATGGCACTTGGTGGCATTGCCATAAGTTTGGTAATTTTTGGAGCTACGTTGATGTGGTACAGGAAGACTGAGAACATTGGATTCCCGAAAACTTGGAGTATGAGTTCTTTGTTTTTTTTTTTTTTTGTATTTCAATTATTCAAGACATGTTAGGTTCGATACGTGAATCATTAAAGGGGAGCTCGTTTGACATGAGGTTGATTTGGTAACATCACATAAATAAGCCACCCAGTTCAGCGAAATTTCTACGAAAATCTAAAACAGGATGATAAACATTTTCAACTAAGAATGATCAAGGTTGAAGGGTCATTACAATTTGTACAATACACACAGTTATAAGTACGCCAAGTAAGCACAGAAATTCGCCAATTCGGCTTCAGCTGGACACACCGTGGTGTTTGACGAAAATCAATAATCGTCATTAGCAGGTTGCCCCAAATAAGTTGTTACTATACGCAATTAACGTGGGGTCAAATTCACCGGTACCAGCGAAAAAATAATCTTTTCACATTAAAAACATTTAACAATTCGGTAATTTTTGTTTGTTTTAGCTACCACTGTGTGACGCTAGGTAGGAGTTCAATTTTTATCCAGTATCAATGAAACTGCATTTTAAACAATTCGTCTTGCCTCTTCATAGTAAATGGCACTTTTCCAATATAACAATTCGTCGCTGTTTCCACGAAGTGACGGTAGTGAAAAAAAAATTGCATTCACTTTGCGTGACGATTTTCCTCACTACCGTCACTTCGTAAAAATAGGGACGAATTGTTGGTCTTTGCCAATAAGAAGAACACAATTATGTTCTGTTTATCTTTAAAAAAACATGAAGTAAAACAAAATTCATGCTGTGTTATGTTTTGTTTTTGTTTTGAATAAATCTTTATTCAGATAAAATCATGGATAACATCGTAGTACATACATATTCATAACAAAGCACTTAATCACATGTCTAAATGAGGTAAAATCAAATTATATCTCTATTTACTTGATAGCAGATTTTAAATTAGTAATTGTCTTCTTCTACTTCATAATATTCAAATTCGTTTTCTTAGTTTTGTTTTTCTCTACTTCTATTTTGTATGTCAACATAAACAAAAAATATTTGCTTATTATTCTCGTCACTACATTTGTATTAAATTGATTTCCAACACTCGCTTTATAGATTGCAAATAAAGCATAATGAAGTATAGTTTTTGTTTGTTTTAGCTACCACTGTGTGACGCTAGGTAGGAGTTCAAATATGTCCAGTATCAATGAAACTGCATTTTAAACAATTCGTCTTGCCTCTTCATAGCAAATGGCACTTTCCCAATATAACAATTGTTGGTCTTTACCAATAAGAAGAACACAATTATGTTCTGTTTATCTTTAAAAAAAAAAACATGAAGTAAAACAAAATTCATGCTGTGTTATGTTTATGTTAATCCTATGAAATTTGCATGCAATTTTTTTTTTCATGTTTATGTCCAACAAATCATTAAAATATCCTGGAAAAAAAATATTGAGGTGAAATGGAATGTTTGTGTTCAACCTCAAGTTTAGTACAGCTTGTCCGGAGATCATTCTGAAACTACACAATGATGCGTTGTTATATGCTAGGAGCACTGCCATTGGATGTCTTCAACAATGTTGTACAAAAAGAAAAACAATTTTGTTTTTGCAAATTTCTCTTCCATAAAAAAATTAACCTATTCTACTGCATGGTACCGGTGAAATATGCGCCCACATTGCTTGTACGTTTTTGTTTTCTTCTTCAATGTGCCCATTCCGTATAGATGACTCTGAGTTAAATGTTTTATTCTGGCAAGTACACCTTTTGTAAATAGCTAATTTCTTCACTTATTAACTCATACATTTGGGTGTCCCCCTTCCCATCCGATATTTATGCAGGTGCTCGATATATGGAAGGATTGAGGTCAGCAGCTGGTTTAAATAAGACGATATCACAAGGAGAAATGACAAAAAATGAAATTAATGACAATGTCTCGAGGCCTGGGTTACGCCTACGAAACATCTCTCACACATGTATCCCGAGGATTCTTTACAAAATGGCGAAACCAGTAAGTTGGTTGTACAACGATATATTAGGTACTGGTTAGTAATTTACAGGGAAAGACAAGTATATTGTTGATAAACATTGTTTTAGTCCCTTAAAACCACAACTCTAGGTTGTTGAAATACATATTCAGGTATTGTCATACTTTAAGTGAGCGATGGCCTACCATGATGTCCAGTATATTACAAAAACAGAACAAAAACAATACATTTTCTTCTCTTCTCCTCCACACCAATGCATTCATAACAGCTTGGCATTCCTTTGGTAATATAATATAATGACTGTGTACATGTGTTTCAATCCCTCTTCAAGGCTTAAAAGCTGTTCCGTATCTTTCTGAAGTAAAAAAAAAAAAAAAAAATCTAAGGGAGGTATTTTATTCTTTATACGTTTATATAAATCAGTACTGTACAGTTGGTTTCTTAAAAAAACATCTCGTCACATAAATATAGCTAAATTTGTATTAATACATCACGAATAAAGAAAGTTTTATTCCCATTTTATACCAATCCACATTTATGATTGTAAAGTTTGGGATCATCGAACTTAAACAATTTTAAACCATAAAAAAATAAGTGGGATCTATTCATGAACACATCAATGACCAGTGTTGCACCTCACTTTGGTTTCATTTCAATTGATCCCCTTGCCCGATCCATTAGGACCAGTTAAGTTGAAATACGTTTTTGTTTACCTCATGAAATGATTGTGACAATATCATTTTTTATTGATAAATAGACTTTATTTCTCCTCGAAATTCATTGATCAATCTTCTATAATGAGTAAGAGAGATTGATCGATAAAGGACATAATGTTTTTCTAGTAATTGATTGGGAATGTCAGGAGTTTCTTTAAAGAAAGACATACTATTGAAATATGTTCCCTTTTTCAAAACGAAATATGCCTGTATTTAATGCCATGCATAATCAATCGCTAAAATTGTAAACAATTTTACTTCGGTCAATGAATAGAGGTGTTCTTGAGTTTTTTTATGACGGAAATGACCGGTAATTTTATTTCACAGACTTACTAACATCTATCAAAAGAACTAAAAAGCGAATAACTGAGCAAAAAAAAATAGTAAAGAAAACTGAGCTAGTTGTTCTGACTGTGTGCCAAAGGCTGTTAAGAGCACAATTTTAGTTTGTTCATATCGTGGGCCTACAAGATTAAACATTACTTCTAGCCAGTTTATTTTCAAAATTCAGTCGCACTACCCCCAATGTATGTTGATGGGAAAATGTGGGATTCCATTTGGAAGAAACACACTGTTCAGAAGTATGATTTTGTTGTCGTCAAAACGAATATGCCTGTATGTATGCCACGAATATTTGATCGATAGTAGGGCAAGCTTCGATAATAATGATTTAAATTTAAGAACCTAGACGTACGAAGTGTTCACTGCTTCTTTAGTGCACTATATTTCAATATATTGGGAAACCATTACAAAAAATGTTTAAAAAACTCCATGTATACCTGCATATTTCATATAATAGCAACTTATTTCATGTGTTAATAATTAATATGTAATAACTTTGCACTTGCAAGTTTAAATATTAATTTTAAAGATTTGTAGTCATATTTTGTCTTAAATGTTTACACATGTTTGGGTTTTCTGCGTTATGCGATATTGAAAGCAAGCACGGTGTATCCCTTGTTACCGTTGATATTGCTAATTTTATCAAAGTTATTAATTTTATCAAAGTTAAGTATTTGCAAATTTTATTTTGACCTAATCAACATACCTGAATATAGCGAGGTGGCATAGATCCAGTAACTGAACTCGGTGAAGGTGAAATTGCCATGATTTCAAGACGCTAGGTCATCTTAAAGGAGAATGTGAGGGAGTTATCTCCCTCTCTCTTCCTCTTCTCTATCTTTTCCGTTTTCTGCTTTTTGATGGCTTTTTCTATAGATCTCTACGCCATTGCCTGAATATTTTCTCCACTCTTTTGTTCAGGGATTTTTTGAGGGGTTACCAGACCAGTTCCTTCCGGATTACAAGAGTCCGTGTTTTATGTTTAAACATGGAAACACTGAGATACTGCGCTGTTTGCCTTACTTCTATATACTTGGAATTATGAAGTGTGGCACCACGGAACTTTGGCATAAATTGGCGGCTCACCCTCAGGTCTACGCCAAAGGAGTTATTTCGAAAGAAGTAGGTTGGTGGTCCCTCAATAGACGGAGTAAGTATTGAATCTCCCTGTCTTTTAATTCATATATCTTAACGTCAAATGACAAATTTACGAAGAGCTGTAGGAATACAGGAAAGGATTTGAGGTGTTCTTGAGTTTATGAATGACGGAAATGACCAGGAATTATATTTGACAGACTTAAATTATAATTTTTCAGAATTTTCAAGCATTACATCTGCGGGACGAATTATAAATGGCTGAACAAATACAAATAACACAATGAAGCTAGATGTTTTGACCGTGTGTCAATCACTATAGAGAGCACATGTGCTCAATAAACATGATTTGTTCAAATATTTAGTTTGCTCACATGATTGACCTACATTATTAAAATTAATTCCAGTAACTTTCTGTTTAAGCGCAGTCGCACTACCCGCAAAGCGCGGTAAATGGGTGAAGTGTTAATCCATGGTATAAAGTGCCAAATGACCAATCGTTATGCCTTTGAAACTGACCAAAAGGTGCGACGGAAAATGAATAATGTCCTTAGCGTTAAATTAACTCATCTTTTGTATTCAATTTCACTACTGAAGTCATTCTCTGTTAGTTTTTGTTTAATTTTGGAGCAAAAACAGAATTTCCAGTTATTTATCCAAAAACAAGAAATTTTACACTAGCATCATTCAGACCTAGGCATTTACCTGACAAATTTTGCTTTTAAAAGAATACAACACCTTTTCCCGATACGCGGATATTTATTTTACTGGGAAAGAGTAATGTCGATAATTTAACGTGTTTTTTATTTCTTGATATTATACTCTAACGTCTGATAATTTGAGACCTAGTTATAATTCACAACGGCTGTACTTTTTCCATAGGAACAACGCCGTTCGCATCCTACCTGGAATCAAGATCCGCGAAAATGGTCCAGTTGTTCGACAGGTTTGAATATCAGAAAAATCGTCTAGTGATAGGTAGGTGGTATCCCTTTAAATCAGTATCGTTTCTAGCGGAGTTTCATCAACCACCCGCCCCCCCCCCCCCCCCTCCTCATTTTTACAAGGTACAATTAATTCTATTCAATTATAATTATATTATTTAAAATCCAAGCAAATTGGATCATTATCACATTTTGTAAAACATCGGATACAAAGATTCAAAATTATAATGTAACATAGATAATTGAGTGCAAAAGTAAAGATAACAATAACCAGGAATGCAAAAACTAATGTATTAATGCATGTCTTTTCTGAAATATAATACAGGGTTGAAAATAAATTGAATGATACTTTTCCCAACTTATTTTTCTTTTCAAATAAAAAGAACAATATACAACATGAAAGTAAACAATAGTAAACAAAAGATGATCCCGACAATACGACCCTATTCCAAACCCTACCTCGTGGTAGACCGTGAGCATGGGATGACAATAAATAATGCTTTTTTACCAAACTAAATTTCAGCGAGATTAATAATATTGTTTAAGGGGGAGGGGGAAGGAGGGGGGGGGGGGTTAATGTATATTTGTATGTAGATTTATTATTTTCAAGTAGGTCTATTCGTTTGTCGTACATTTCGCTTATTCCAAATACTATGATTGCAGTTTATGTCAGTCTCCTCATTGGTCATTATTAGTTTAAATTTATCATCATCGTTCATGTTTTGAAAGTCCGGTACTATATTGTGTAGTTAAGAGTATATTTTAAATCTGGGATCTTTTAAATGTGTACATTTTGATAGGAAGTGTATTTCATTCTCTATGTCAGTTTTACAAAGGGAGCATATTCTATCTTTTAATGTTATTTTCTTGTACCGCCTTCCTCAATCATGAGGTTACTATTGCTTATTCTGATTTGTGTGTATTTAGCTACATGTGATTTGTCAATATCGAGTAATAAATAGTTTTGCAATGATATTTTTGTCTTTAAGATTTTATATGTTTTTAATTCTGTAGAATATTTAGAAATATTTTTCATTTGATGGACTGTCTTTCCAGGCGTTTATATATCTACCTTGTAATTTGTTAAGTATATCTTTCTTTAACCTATTGATACAAAACGTATAATGGTTTCGCGCGATATGAGAAAAACCTAATGAGTTTAAAAAGGATTTCATATGTTTGCAATATTTGATGCTAATGATTTTGCCCTCAACGTAAGCTTGTTTTACTAAGCATTCTTTGGCGGGGTTTATAATGTGATGCCAGCAGCCAACAACATTTGTTTATGTTGTTAGTGTGCGGGGGAATCATCCGGTTTACACTAGGATTGCGTTCTTAATTGCTGATCTGTTAGTACCAATGAGATCTTTTAAACACTTTACTTGTAGGGATTCGGGTAGGAATGTTTTGTAGCATTTTACTGATTCTTTTACATAATTTCTCAACAATTCAAGCCCCCATATTTTAGAATTATAAAGAATGATTGGTTTTATACAGGTATCGAAGAGTTGCATATATAGTATTAAGGATATTCGGTCTTTAGGGTTAAATGCTTCGTAGGCTAAATACGGCTTTTTTTTTGGCTTCGTTGATTAATTGTTTTATTTATAATAATAATAATACATAATAAGATCAATTTATAGAGCGCTAATATTTAAATATACTCTACTGCGCTGTGATGAAAAACAAACTCCTAACAATGCTACTTTACAGACAAAAAATAGCAAAATATATCTTTTTATTTCTCAAAAGCTCCTGAAAACAAGTGTGTCTTCAACACAACTTTGAAGACAGCAAAAGATGGGGCTTTTCTTATGTCTAGTACAGTGCCATTGATTAGGAGAGTTTGGACAACCCGGTTCCAGTTGGACACAATATGGCGACTCCTGCTTTGTTGGGCAAGCACAAAACAAAAGAATATACGCCATGTTGTGACCCAGTGAAAACCAAGTTGTCCAAACTCTGTGTATAGACGGCTCTGGTCTAGTAATAGGTTTTTCCAAAGCTATGGAGCTGCGCAACTGAAAGCACACTCTCCAAGAGTTTCTTTTGTTTATGTGCGAGGTAGCTTTAGAGGCAGCTTGTCCTGTGTACTTCGCAATTTACGTGCAAATGGATATGATTTTAATGATAATGATTCAGATAAATAAGTTGGGGCTTGATCAAAAAATGCTTTGTAAACAAACGAAAGCATTTTGAATGCAATTATCTGCCTTATTGGCAACCGTGGTAACTCAATCAAAACAGGCGTAATATGAGATCATTTGGAGGAATTTGACACAAGTCTTGCACATGCATTCTGAACACGCTGCAACTTGATTATTTGTGAATGTAGATATGGCAAGCCAAACAATAATCATTTACAATAACCTAGCCTACTGCTAATAAATGGGTCAATGTCGCTATTCATAAGGAGGGCTATTCATAAGGACCGCTTTTCATAATTTGAAAAAAGGGTCATTATTCATAAGGACCGCTACTCATAATAAAAAAAGAGGGTCGCTATTCATTACACGAGAAAAGGGTCGCTACTCATAATACGAAATGAGGGTCGCTATTCATAACACGATGATAGGATCGCTATTCATAATAGGAGTAAAGGTTCGCTATTCATAATGCAGAATGAGGGTCGCTACTCATAATACAAAATGAGGGTCGCTATTCATAACACGATGATAGGATCGCTATTCATAATACGAAATGAGATCGCTATTCATAATGCAGAATGAGGGTCGATAGTCATAATACGAAATGAGGGTCGCTATTCATAACACGATGATAGGATCGCTATACATAATAGGAGTAGAGGGTCGCTATTCATAATGCAGAATGAGGGTCGCTACTCATAATACGAAATGAGGGTCGCTATTCATAATACGATGATAGGATCGCTATTCATAATACGGAATGAGGTCGCTATTCATAATGCAGAATGAGGGTCGCTAGTCATAAGGGTCATTATTCATAAGGGTCATTATTCATAATCGAAGAAGAGGGTCGCTATTCATAATACGAGAAGAGGGTCGCTATTCATAAAACGAGAAAAGAGTCGCTATTCATAATACGAAATGAGGGTCGCTATTCATAATACGATGATAGGATCGCTATTCATAATACGGAATGAGGTCGCTATTCATAATGCAGAATGAGGGTCGCTAGTCATAAGGGTCATTATTCATGAGGGCCATTATTCATAATCGAAGAAGAGGGTCGCTATTCATAATACGAGAAGAGGGTCGCTATTCATAATACGAGAAAAGAGTCGCTATTCATAATACGAAATGAGGGTCGCTATTTATAATACGAAATGAGGGTCGCTATTCATAATAGGAGAAGAAGGTGGCTATTCATAATATGACATGTGGGTCGCTATTCATAATACGAGCAGAGGGTCGCTATTCATAATACGAGCAGAGGGTCGCTATTCATAATACGAAATGAGGGTCGCTATTCATAATACTAAAATGAGGGTTGCTATTCATAATACGGGATGAGAATTTTTTTTAAGGCGTGCCCCAATAAGGTACTTGACTCATCATCCTGGGCCCCAGCCCCCCCCCCCCCTCCCCACCAGTCCGACCACGCTGCGCCATTCGGCCCACCCTCCCCCAAGTATTTCCTTGGTACAAGTGCATATTACCGACAATTCTCGTCCAAGTAGTTCATAGATGGCGTAGCCTGTGCGTGGTTCACGGGTGGGGGTAGTCCAGAAATTAATTGGATCTCCACCACACCACGATGCGATCTGCCTCACTTACTTGCTGCCAGTCGGAGATGGCGTAATCCTCGAATTAGAACGCCCGGCCGCGTTTGTTTTTCTTCTCCCCGTAATGTAGCCATCCTGTCGCTGCATTTGATTGGCTCGATAGGACCTATACGCAATATTCATGATACGCACGTACACAGAATCTGATGCGATAATTATTTATCAAATATGAGATTTCATACAAAAATTACAAATGCAAAGCCAAGTTTACTTTAAATAAGTAACATTGCGACAAAATCGGGAGGCTTACCGTAAACAAATGACTACCCAGGTCGTAACTTGTCCATAATCATTTCGACATACTTGTTAATTTAGTCCACAATCTGGCCGATTTAATTTTGAAATTGATCTCCACCTCACCGTACCAACGCAAATATTCATATATTCAAATATTAATATGCATTCTAGGATGGCTACCTTACGGGAAAAAAAGACGCCGCCCGGCCTCGTCTTATTTTTTCGTACCAGATCGAGCTCGCGAGGGAAACCTGCGCATGCGCACTCGCGAAGGAAACCAGCGCATGCGCACATGGAATCCGGTAGGGTGGTCAATAGGGTGATAGTAATTATACAAATAAAACTGTCATCAACTCATCGTTAGCTCAATCGGCAAGGACAGTGTGCAAACTAATAACACTTTGTAGTTGACTTGAGGGTTCAAGTCTCAGTTTATTCAGTTTTTTAGCCTTTATAAATAGTGAGGCAAAGCAATACATAACCAAAGTCTAATTGTTTGTAACCTCTTTGCAAGCTTTACGTAGCTTGTTATGTATGAAAATGAGTTCATACTGGAATCTGGGCTCGCCGTGGTACGAAAAAATAAGACGCCGCCCGGCCGCGAATTTGCGATTCCCAAACCATTCAGCTATGGGAGACTTTATGAGCAACGTGATTGGTCGAGAGAAGAAATAAATATTACGTCATTTACTGCACGCTCGGGCTCGCTCACAGCTGACACAGACACACAAACACTCACAATGTTAGTCTGCAAGCACAGACTCTAATTTGACACTTTACGAAAGATATCATGTCTGAGGGAAGTCTATCTACATGAAATGGCCTACCGTAGTCTCACGATTCAGACTCTGTGGCCCGAATTCACAAAGCAAGGTTTGAGCTCAGACCAAGGTTTGAGCTCAAACCTCCTTTTGTTTCGCCAAACCTCCTTTTGTTATTTACAAACCAGGTTTGTAAATAACAAAAGGAGGTTTGGCGAAACAAAAGGAGGTGCACAGGTATGTGCAGGTATGTGCCTGCAAACTACTCACATGCCTTAGAATTCTGCTACTGAAGGTGTGTATCAGTAACGCATAGAGAGAGATGGGTC